GCATTGAGGCAGCTGGAGGTCATACACGCTATTGAAGGCAACTGTGTCGACAATGAACTTGTAGTGTGTCTGACAATTTTTTGGTGACATTTCAGACAACTTTTTAAAATGAAATTTCTTACCGCACCATTGTTTACCTTGAGCTTACATAACCTGTGATTGCACAATTTAATTCAAACTGTGGTGGATCAATCATTTGTTACCCCTCCCTAGATTATATTATAATTCACAACAAAACCTCTTCTTGTTATTTTTTTATCGATCATCGAACTCGACCTATACTTTCTTTTGCCGCCCAGTTTATATGCAATTGCTAAGAGTGATAAAGTTTGGTTTAACAGTGCTTTTAACAGTATTTCAGGTAGTTATTTCAGTATTTAATTTATTGTGTCGAAATGCGAATTCAGAACGTTTACTGAAAAAGGGGCAGTATTCGAATATTCATTTCTATATTATTAATATAAGTTATGGATAGTATATCCATAAGATGAACTGTACTGACCCTTAGTCAGAACTCAAAGAGTACTTCCAAATGGTTTTATTTTTTAAAATATTATTTGATTTGATTATTTGAAATTCGCATAATACACAACTGCTGATGGGAATCTTAGACAACCTATCTTTGAAAATCAACAAATATGCACTTTTCCGGCACATATTTATAATATTTCAAACAGGGTAGGGGTCATGTTGTTGCAAATTCATTTCTTACACCAGTAAGATTGTATTTTGACACAAAATTACCCAGCCACAGATTACTTTTCACAAAATGTTGCAGAAATCCGTATTGGTTAAATATATAGGAAATTAAACATGATAAAATTTAAAAACAGTTCAATTTTCAATTTCATAAAAACAATCTCGCTACACTTTCTTTTGCCCCTCAGTTAAGTTTACATGTGGAAAACAGGCATATTATTTTTTCGGAAAATAAGGTCACCTGCTTTTATCATCTGAAGGATTAAATACCACCAGTCGAGGCCTTGTTTAGATGACCTTCACTCGAGGCCATGGTAGCGTAATAATCTGTACTCGAAACGTGAGCAGTGAACAATTTGTGCCATAAATGATCTACAGCTTCGTCCATAAAATAATGTGACAAAACCAAGAAATCTCTGCGAAAGTCAGAGCCAATAGTACGACTCCGACTATATCATGAGACTGTGTTCATGTATCACTGTCAAATAGTCATGATACCAGGTTTCGCGAAAAGGTTCGTCCAACTGGTGGCAACCGTCACAAACACATACAAAGGCAAGTCAATTGTTCACCTAAAAAAACACGGGAATATATGATACAAGTGAAAATATGGAATTGCATTCGACATCATTGTTGTCAACGAAGTGTCAAATTTGGAAATATCCCCCCACATGACCACCACAAAACTCCCCGAAAGACCTAATGAGGCCTTAAATGTTGCAACCCTGGCCAACAACGTATAACGCTCTGACGTGAGTCATACAACCATAAGTCCAGTTAACTACCAGTTGAAGATTGTAGTTCCACCTAGTACCACCCTCAACCCCATCCCACATCCAGTACAACCCTCCATCCTTCACACTACGCCACATCTAGTACCACCCTCCATCCTTCACACTACCCCATATCTAGTACCGCCCTCCATCCTTCACACTACCCCATATCTAGTACCACCCTCCATCCTTCACACTACCCCATATCTAGTACCGCCCTCCATCCTTCACACTACCCCACATCTAGTACCGCCCTCCATCCTTCACACTACCCCATATCTAGTACAACCCTCCATCCTTCACACTACCCCACATCTAGTACCACCCTCCATCCTTTACACTACCCCATATCTAGTACCACCCTCCATCCTTCACACTACCCCATATCTAGTACCACCCTCCATCCTTCACACTACCCCACATCTAGTACCACCCTCCATCCTTCCCACTACCCCACATCTAGTACCACCCTCCATCCTTCACCCGACACAACATCTAGTACCACCCTCAGTCCTTCACACTACCCAAAAATCTAGTACCACCCTCCATCCTTCACACTACCCCACATCCAGTACAACCCTCCATCCTTCACACTACCCCACATCTAGTACAACCCTCCATCTTTCACACTACCCCACATCTAGTACCACCCTCCATCCTTCACACTACCCCACATCTAGTACGGCCCTCCATCCTTCACACTACCCCACATCTAGTACCACCCTCCATCCTTCACACTACCCCACATCTAGTACCACCCTCCATCCTTCACACTACCCCACATCTAGTACCACCCTCCATCCTTCCCACTACCCCACATCTAGTACCACCCTCCATCCTTCACCCGACACAACATCTAGTACCACCCTCAGTCCTTCACACTACCCAAAAATCTAGTACCACCCTCCATCCTTCACACTACCCCACATCCAGTACAACCCTCCATCCTTCACACTACCCCACATCTAGTACAACCCTCCATCTTTCACACTACCCCACATCTAGTACCACCCTCCATCCTTCACACTACCCCACATCTAGTACGGCCCTCCATCCTTCACACTACCCCACATCTAGTGCCACCCTCCATCCTTCACACTACCCCACATCTAGTACCACCCTCCATCCTTCACACTACCCCACATCTAGTACCACCCTCCATCCTTCACACTACCCCACATCTAGTACCACCCTCCATTCTTCACATTACCCCACATCTAGTACCACCCTCCATCCTTCACCCGACACAACATCTAGTACCACCTCAGTCCTTCACACTACCCCATATCTAGTACCACCCTCCATCCTTCACACTACCCCACATCCAGTACCACCCTCCATCCTTCACACTACCCCACATCTAGTACCACCCTCCATCTTTCACACTACCCCACATCTAGTACCACCCTCCATCCTTCACACTACCCCACATCTAGTACGGCCCTCCATCCTTCACACTACCCCACATCTAGTACCACCCTCCATCCTTTGGCGCACCCGACATGTAGTACCACCCTCCATCCTTCACACTTCCCCACATCTAGTACCACCCTCCATCTTCCACACTACCCCATATCTAGTACCACCCTCCATCTTTCACACTACCCCATATCTAGTACCGCCCTCCATCCTTCACACTACCCCATATCTAGTACCACCCTCCATCCTTCACACTACCCCATATCTAGTACCACCCTCCATCCTTCACACTACCCCACATCTAGTACCACCTCCATCCTTCATACTACCCCACATCTAGTACCAACCTCCATCCTTCACACTACCCCACATCTAGTACCACCCTCCATCCTTCACACTACCCTCCATCTAGTACCACCCTCCATCTTTCACACTACCCCACATCTAGTACCACCCTCCATCCTTCACACTACCCAACATCTAGTACCACCCTCCATCCTTCGCAATACCCCATATCTAGTACCACCCTCCATCCTTCACACTACCCCTCATCTAGTACCACCCTCCATTCTTCACCGCACCCCACAGGCAGTACAACTCCCGGGCCCTTCCTTCACACTACCCCATATCTAGTACCACCCTCCATCCTTCACCGCACCCCACATCTAGTACCACCCTCCATCCGTCCCACTACCCCACATCTAGTACCACCCTCCATCCTTCACCGCACCCCACAGGCAGTACAACTCCCGGGCCCTTCCTTCACAATACCCCATATCGAGTACCACCCTCCATCCTTCACACTACCCCACATCTAGTACCACCCTCCATCCTTCACACTACCCCACATCTAGTACCACCCTCCATCCTTCACACTACCCCACATCTAGTACCACCCTCCATCTTTCACACTACCCCACATCTAGTACCACCCTCCATCCTTCACACTACCCAACATCTAGTACCACCCTCCATCCTTCACACTATCCAACATCTAGTACAACCCTCCATCCTTCACACTACCCCACATCTAGTACCACCCTCCATCCTTCGCAATACCCCATATCTAGTACCACCCTCCATCCTTCACACTACCCCTCATCTAGTACCACCCTCCATCCTTCACCGCACCCCACAGGCAGTACAACCCTCCTTCCTTCACAATACCCCATATCGAGTACCACCCTCCATCCTTCACACTACCCCACATCTAGTACCACCCTCCATCCTTCACCGCACCCCACAGGCAGTACAACTCCCGGGCCCTTCCTCCACAATACCCCATATCGAGTACCACCCTCCATCCTTCACTCAATACTCTTCATCGACGTGTATGGTCCTGTTCCTTATGCACCTTATTGTTTACTTCAGCGAAAGTACATTTATCACTGGTTTCATTTCATAAACACAGCCAAGCTGTCATGCGCTGAAAGAGGAACCATAACCCATTACATATTACAATTTATGAAAGACGGAACGCGAATTTCGCCACAATTTGAAATAACAGTTTCTTAGTATGTAGATGTCAGAAGCGCCGTTTGCTACTTCATGTGATATATTAAGATGATATATATTTTTGTACAGGTCAAGGCTACAACAGAATCAAATTGTACTATGACAAGCAAGTTACGTCACAGTTCAATGTTATGACGTCATAATGTCTTTATAGATCTAGACTAACCAATCAGATAGCTAGACGGAAAATAGTAAGGTTATGGCGAACCCGGCTATGCCCTTATTCTAAAATCAAAAAGATAATACATAACACCAATTTTCTGGAAATTACAAAAATATGACAGTCGTTTCGTAAAATCCCTGATTCAGTCACTTCTATGTGTAATAGTCATCCCAGACTCACTTAGTCTTCATTACGCTTTGAACCGCCATAAAAATCGTTAAAAATCCACTTTACTTACAAGTAATGAATATTTTGACGCTCTCGTTTGGTATTAAGCTCAATATTACTATACTCAAACAGCGCGGTTAGGCTTTACCACGTGGGTATCACATGTCTTTGTTTACTTCTCGCGTTATCTCAAACCCTCTCGCGTGATTTGAGCATTGCCTCGGCAGAATATCAATTTAAGCAATTGCTCGACCCCCCTCTAGAGACAGTGGGTTTATTATCGAGTATAAAAGTGAGGCTGTGGCAGATTTCGCTGGCTTCCTCGGAGCCCGCTTGCCTCTCAAATCTGTGCTGTTTGAAACATTTATCCAAATTTTTCTTTCATACAGCATGGCTACATCGAGTTCAGTGGTGAGTTTAGTTATTGGGGGAGGTAATATATATTATTTGTTTGCAATTTAATGTACAGATGAAATTTTCCTATCTGAGAGCACGAGAGAGCTGGATTTCCCGGGACGGCTCAAGATGTCGGGCGAACATGAACCAAGCATTCTGAAAATATGTTTCATTCCCTTCAGACGTACTGCTGAAATTTTATCAAATCCACGTATGCTTACTTCGTAGTATTTAACCAACACCATGGTTATAAGTTTGATTCAGAAAACAGTTTTTGATACCGCTATAAATCGGTGTCAAAAGGCCATTAAAAGCCCAAATGACTGATTTGTGAAACATGACATGACCAACTTAATATTGTAAAAAGTATACGTTTGAAGGCAATTCCGGCAGTACATTGATTTGTTTGGGTCCATATTATTCTGTACAGATTTAATGTTCCTGACTGATACGAGGTAGAACAGGTCGTGGCTATATTCACGTGCGACAGGTGCATGAACCTAGCCAATCGTAGTCCGCAATACTGTACCACAGCTGATCATATCACAAAGGAAATATGGTGTAGTCTGTTTAAACCCTGGAGTCAATTATTTGAGTTTTGAGAGTACACCGTTTTAGGAGCCAGATAGAATGGTTCATCATTAATTCTTTTGTCCTTTGTTTACCCCCAAAATAACAACTGATAACCATTAGTGACCAGTAAAGGCAATTACACGAAGTTTTCACAAGCACACATAGATCTAGCATGTACATTGAAATTCTCTTTTTATGAATTAAAAAAATAGACTTCAGCAGAAATAGATAGTTTATTAGTCCGAGACTAGTAAAGATCTTAAGGGACTAGTTTTCACCCCAAATCGAGTTATATTACATAAAGCACTGGAATTAGTCTGTAACGTGTAGTGAGCTGTGGACGAGCTGGATTTGACCAATGGTGTCCTACCCCTATTCAGCCTTTTTAACTCACCTTGGCTTTGTCAGTATGTGAGCTTATGTTATGGTTTTAGAACTGAAACTTCTAATCTTTTCTTCTCCGAATCTACTGAACATATCAGCAGTATTTTCACATACTCTCTTCTACATGTCCCTAGCTGCAATCATGTAAACTTTTCTTTTATAAAAAAATAAAAATGGCTGTTGCACCAGCTCATTTTAGTCGAAGAAACAAACAGCCTTCAACAAATCTCAGGCTCGATGACTTGATTGATGCATGTTATTGTATCCCAAATTGTGTAGATCGATGCTCATGATATCATTCACTTGATATCTAGACTCGATTATTTACAGACACCCGTCATATAGCCAGAATATTGTGGGGTATGGCATTAAACAACAAACAAACAGTATAATATGTTGTAACCACACTTGTTTGAAAGGAGGCAGGCCACAACCCACAGTCAAAAGGGCCCCCTAAAAAGTCAAGGGGCTTTAACAAAAAAAATTAAAAAAACGGTCTCTTTTAACAAGTTAAATGTCTGTTTAATAAATGTTTGAAAAATCTCTTCATTACAGTATATATGCTAAATAATTCAGTGAGACCAAGGTTATGCATTTGTTTGAAGACCAGTGCTTTAAAATAATTTTGAAACCCAACAAGACAGTTGGGCAGGTGACCCATAAATGTTGCCTGCCCATCTTCAAATTTACCTGCCTGCATACAGACATTTTAAATATTGAAAAATAAGAAGTAAATCACATCTTGATTCAGTTGAAATAATGCAAACAATTATTTGAAAATCTACGGGAAGTTATGACAAAACTGAATACGTCTTCATATTATCTGTCCGGTAGGCGGAGGAAAGTTTCACACCGTCCGACAGAAAATTTTCCCTCCACACGCAGGCAGCTATTTCGGACTCTGCTGATGACTCTTGTAAAACGGAAGTGACTTTCACTAAGTTTCACATTGGGAAGCAATCTCAAAGGAGAGGATGTTTGCTGCCTCAAAATCCATGACAATGGACTTAACTGATGGTGGATGGGATAGTAGTCAAAGACAGCTTTTGAATACAGCCACATAGTCTGTTACAGAGATTAGACATAAACTCATTTTGAGGAACCCACGGATACTGACCTTCACCTGTTGCCGTTATGACTATTTTTTAAGAAAATATGTTATGATACTGGTATTATTGTTGTTTTAAATGACATATATCATGTAACAAATGGCGAAAGTTATGGACACACAATGCCATTTAGAAAGTGGTCAAATGTAACAAAGTTGTCAGACTTTCATTTTTGCGGAAGCCTTGGTGGCTGAGTGGGTTAGTGGGTCCCGGACAGGACTCGGCCCCAAAAAGTATGAGAATCTGTACTTTACCAACATTTGTTACATTTCTCCAATGAAAAGCCCAGTGACGTTCTAGGTTAGAACTGGTATTTCATGCTTGTTGTAAGAGGCAACTAATGGATTGGGTGGTCCAGCTCACTGACTTGATGTGGGGCACGGGTGGCCCAGTTGTCTAAGGCGCCGCGGTTCGCTGTGCAGAGTTGCGACACTTGGGCACGCCAGAAACCTATGATTGTGGGTTCGAATCCCGGTTCGCCACAATTATGTTTCTAGGTTTGTCAGCTCCATACCCGTGCTCTTGGGTTTCACTGAAGTGGTAAACGTCTGAAACCTGCATCACTTCAGGCTTTCCTCCCACATTAAGCTAACACGCCGCAATATGACTGGAATACTGTTAAAAGCGGCGTTAAACCAAACTCACTCACTCACTGACTTAATGCACGTATCCCATTTGCATTTCTTGATGCTCAGTCACAGGATTTTTTGAATGCCTTGTATAGTTGTGCAACATTGTCAAAATGACAATGTAATCTGGGCAAGGTGTGCAACAACTGCTTTAAAGGCCGACCAGGTCTTTCAAGTTTGGCTCATTATTATCATTATCTATCGTCACTATCAATAAGAAAGAAATGGTCCTTTTACTTGAATTGAGATAGTCATATACATAGATATAACTTATCAGGAAAAAATTGTGGAGTCTAAAAAACAAAACAGAATGAGAAATTTAAAAACTATGCTTCACCAATTTGGAACTTAAAAGATTAATAAAAGACCTATTGTTACCAATAATTGAGCTTATAACTTTTATGCAACTTTATTAGCACATTCACACCTCGGAAATGTTAGACACCGATTAACTTGAACAGAGGTGAGCTTCTCTGCCAGGGTACTCTGGTTTTATTAGAAGTTTTGCATTTGGCTCCGAGTTTACTGATTTATTGATTTTACTTTGCTGTCCTAACCACTACTGTTTGTGTTGCAGAGCCAGCTGTATAAAACTGTAGTAGAGGATGTAATCAGCAACGTAAAGGAAGCCTTCCTCGACGAGGGAGTAGATGAACAAGTGCTCACAGAGTTAAGACAGGTATGCAGCAAGACCCTCACAGCTGTTCAGTACATTTATGTTTAAATTACCTGTAATTATGAGTCATTTCATGGATTGTTGGGTGTTAAGGCTTGGAAGCTTGGTTGATTACTTGTCATCGTAGGCTGATGGTGCGGATTGTTGCTTGTACTATAAATTGCTCATTCCTTCATATGACCCGTGCAGATCTGGGTTAGGATCAGCAACCCATGCTTGTCAAAAGACGGGTTATGCCCGTCGTAAGAAGCCACTGACGGGCTTGGGTGGTCAGGCATACAGACTTGGTTGAAGCATGTACCGTATTCGACGTAATAAGCGCCCCGCTCTAATAAGCGCCCACTCGTGTATAATACGCACTCGTGTGTTATATCATCCTAATTATAGGCAATTATATTCTTGAAAAATATATTTGTCGTATGTAAACATTTCAGGCTGTTGGCATAAACCACGAAATTTACGATCTTTCTTTAGTCTAATAAGCGCCCCCTATTTCTAATTTTGAGAGCGCCCTGGCCGCTTATTATGTTGAATACGGTTATCATGTTCTAATTGCGTAGATTGATGCTCTACCCGTGAAGATCCAGGGGAGAATATGTCTTCAGCAACCCATGTTTGCTGTAAAAGGTGACTATGCTTGTCGTAAGAGGCGACTAATGGGATCGGGTGGTCAGGCTCTCTGACTTGGTCGATGCTTGACATCCTATCCCAATTGTGTGGATTGATGTTCATGATGTCAACCACTGGGTAGTCAGGTCCAGACTTCCAGATTTACAGACCACTGTAATATTGCTGAGTGCGGCATTAAACAACCAACACACAAACAAAGATTGATGCTCATGATGTCAGTCACTGAATTGTCTGGTCCAGACTTGATTGTTTATAGGCCAATGTCATATGGCTGGTATATTGCTGAGAGTTTCATAAAGAAACAACAAACATCTTTTTGAAATAACAATTTTGATAACAATAAGCTAATGTCCATTGAGCCAGTGTGAATCCCTGTAGAGCTGTTTCTGTGACCATGTGTTGTTTCAGCTATGGGATACCAAGTTGACATCCTCCAAGGCTCTAGATGCACAGACTGCAGACCAAGACATGATTCCCAAAATCTTTGTACCTCATCAGCAGCCACAAGGTAAGCTACGTGTAATGGCCCAGGAGGCATGCCAAACTGTCTCATATGACTGAGTTCTTCTGAAAATAGCTGAAGATCCAGGGTAAAATAGGTCTTCAGCTACCCATGCTTGCTGTAAAAGCCGACTATGCTTGTTGTAAGAGGGGACTAAAGGGATCGGGTGGTCAGGCTCGCTGACTTGGTTGATACATGTCATCGATCCCAATTGCGTGGATCGATGCTCATGATGTCAATCACTGGATTGTCTGGTCCAGACTCGATTAATTTACAGACCACCGTCATATAGCTGGAATATTGCTGAGTGCGGCGTTAAACAACAAACAAACAAAAACATGGTATATGTAGTGATTGCATATGTAGTGATGCAGCTAACTTTATTGCAACTGTAGCCTATAGTGACTGTTGCTATAGTAACTGTACATGTATATTTCAGTAATGGTGACTAGCTATGGTAACTGAACATATATATTTTTAGTAATGGTGACTATAGCTATGGTAACTGTACCTGTATATTTCAGCAATACTGACTGTAGCCATGGTAACTGTACATGTATATTTCAGTGATGGTGACTCATGCTATAGCAGCATATGAAACTCCCAAAAATTTCAGCCAGACCACAGGACTGGCTAGCTGAAATACTTGCCAGCCCTGACCAAAACCTGCCTGCCCACTATAATCATATGTTTCTCAGGATAAGCTAACGGGGTTTCTTTTTGGTTACATTTTATCATTCATCTTTACATGTGAATTAATGATTATCATCGGGAAATATTTAGAATAATGTCACATATGAAATATAACCCGACCGTCGGGCAGGGGGATTTGAAAATCTGGCAGCCCGAGTTGAAATCAACCCGTCTCGGACGGTCGGGCAGGCAGGTATTTCGAACACTGGCTATAGTAACTGTACATGTATATTTCAGTGATGGTGACTGTCGCTATAGTAACTGTACATGTATATTTCAGTGATGGTGACTGTTGCTATAGTGACTGTACATGTATATTTCAGTGATGGTGACTGTTGCTATAGTAACTACATGTATATTTCAGTGATGGTGACTGTTGCTATAGTGACTGTCCATGTATATTTCAGTGATGGTGACTGTTGCTATAGTAACTGTACATGTATATTTCAGTGATGGTGACTGTTGCTATAGTGACTGTCCATGTATATTTCAATGATGGTGACTGTTGCTATAGTAACTGTACATGTATATTTCAGTGATGGTGACTGTTGCTATAGTGACTGTCCATGTATATTTCAGTGATGGTGACTGTTGCTATAGTAACTGTACATGTATATTTCAGTGATGGTGACTGTTGCTATAGTAAATGTACATGTATATTTCAGTGATGGTGACTGTTGCTATAGTAACTGTCCATGTATATTTCAGTGATGGTGACTGTTGCTATAGTAACTGTACATGTATATTTCAGTGATGGTGACTGTTGCTATAGTGACTGTCCATGTATATTTCAGTGATGGTGACTGGCACGACGGCGGTGCCGCAGGCCATCCCTGTCCCCATCCAGATAGCAGCAGGAGCTGGCCAGGACATGGTGAGTTGGCTGTCACTTGACCTTGTTCTCCTCACAGAGGCAGGGCATGTCATGTTGATTAACACTATAATCCGTGTAGATTCGTGAAATGTGAAAGCTTTCCGGTGGTTGCTTTACCTGGCTAAACATATACGTTGTTATTCTGTCTGTTTTAACTGTGATAACGTAATCATTCATGTATCAAATGTGGAAAAAAGAAATGCAGGGTACAGAAACAAATGCTATTGGTAAACAGAGAACAACATGCACTTAATTGTTTTGAAAAATTCCATGTGGTATGATGGGTCATGAACAAGCTTTCGTCAATCCCTGTACTCGTTCATGCCATATGTGTAATACTGTTTTGGTCCTTATTGTATCAAACCCATGAAGATCTGGGTTAGAATTGGTCTTCAGCAACCCATGCTTTCTGTAAAAAGCGACTATGCTTGTTGTAAGAGGCAACTTACGGGATCGGGTGGTCAGGCTCTCTGACTTGGTTGATGCTTGTCATCGTTTCCCAATTGCGTGGAATGATGCTGATGATGTCAATCACTGGATTGTAGGTCCAGGCTCGATTATTTACAGACCGCTGTGATATGGTTGGAACATTGCTGAGTGCAGTGCTAAATAACAAACAAAACAAAAATTATTATGTATCCCTTAAAGTCAGTCAGCTAAGCTACCAGTATTGCAAATGTGGAGCCATTTGGTAAATATTTCTTAGTGCCAACAAAAACACTTTTCAGTCGTTTGTGGTTGCGTAACATACATTGAACCCATCAGAAAAGATTCCTTTTGTTCAGCATGTGTGTATCCTGATATATTGTAATGCCTGTCCTGTTACCTGACAAGTGAAATGTTTCCCACTGATGCATGGAATCACTGTGTATGTGATGTAGAGTGGGGCATGCCACAGTTACAGTGTGTCATTGTGTGAAACAGCTGCTTGCCTGTTGCCCAGCTTCGTCTGTCTAGCTAACACCATAATGCTTATTGTGTTCTTTTGGCTAATGCAATATTCTGCCTAGTTGCCTCTATAAGATAAGCACCCGAATACCAAGGCAGGGATTTATCTGGAATTCCAAACTAAGTACCCTTGGCAAGCTAAGTAGGAGAAAATCGTGATATTGTCCCAAATTTGATTATTTTGTAGTTGTTATTTTCATAAATTCTGAGAAATTGGGAATTTTAAAAATCAAATTGGGAATATTTACTATCATTTGCTGCAGACTTTGGGCCCAAATTCATCCAATGTCGGCCTTTCAGTAGTCTAGATAAATGCCTGCAATATGTGTATTGAGACATTGGGGGTGATACGGATAGACAATAGGGTACAATGGAGACCACTCATGCTATTGAGATTTATATAGTTTTTAGTATTATTTAGTTCACTACTCACTATAAATTAAAGATAACATACAGCTCAGTCTCAGTCCGGTATCACATTTATTAGAAGAACCCACACTTGCCTCGTAGAGTCTTTTTCAGTTGATATTTTTGTTATTATGTGGGTTATTATTATCTGAGCTTACTAGTGCCGGCATAATTTCACTAGATTCAGGCTTCAGCTACTGGCTATAATCACACTTGTTGTGACAAGCCTCACACGCAGAGCTAGAACTATATGCAAGAAGCATGTGTGTGAAATAATTTTGAGAATAAGAGGCCTTAGTTATGAAGGCCATGGTTTAACACTCCGTATACACGAGTGTATAAAATTCAAGATTTATTTGGGCATCACAGGGGAGGATATTAAGACTCAGGCCTACAGCAAATATCGAAATATTCCCACATAGGAATTGAGAAACTCCTAATTCAGGCTTTTATGATAATTACTAATAGCTTTACTTTGTAAGATGACAAATGTCTCTGCTAAAGTGTCCAATAAAAAGTGTTGGAACTTAGGGTCACAATATGAGGTACTTCTGAATTTAGGAACATATAAATTCTCAATCGTGGAAATGATACTTTTCCCACTTTTCCCTTGTTCCCATTTACCTGTCACAGGCACCTAGGTTAAAGGTGAGTTGAGGTGAAATGGGGTTTAGCATCGCGTTCAAGATTATTGTACTTATACAGCAACATGACCTAGTGTAAACTCAGCATAAATCCCTAAACCACTACCTAGGCCGATAATCAGTGAGCATTCAGAATATTAAATTCTCAGCACCCTGGGGAGTATACAACCCATGCTACTTGTTAAGTGCAAGAAGACTTTTGCATTCACAACCACTCTCCTACCGGGTACCCATTCATTGCAGGGTGAACAGAGGCAAGTCTATAACAAAGTGACTTTAGAGACAGTGCATGTTATAAGCGTTGTCATGTTACCATGGTTACTGTGGAATGATGAAGATGTATTCAACCTTTCTGTTGTTATGTTGCAGCTAAAGAGAATTTCGATTAGACCCCAAGTGAGTTTCAGTTTGACATGATCCCCTTTCTTCAACTGCACCAAACTCTCCACTAATCAGTGCACCGGCTGATCAAAGAAACTATGATAATATCATGTGAACACTATTTTAATGAAAAGCATCATCCTCTTTTAAGTTTACTGTTTATATCTGTTCTACCTCACGAGGGTTTGGCTACGACCATTGTACCAACCAGGGGTGGATGGGGGTGGATATATTCTGAAGAAAAAAATATTCACTGGATGTCCTGAAAAAGTTCAGATACCCAAAATGTTTCAGTTCCTTCAATCAGAGGAATTGTTTTGTATGCCTTGAAGCATTGATCTAAAACCAACTCTTTTAAAAAAAAGGTATAAACTCTCCTAGTCGCAATATGGCTGAAATAAAATGCCAATCATGCAGCCCTAGAAACTAACAGTTTTCAGTCGACTAGTCCTCATAATAACATATAGCAATACCCTTAAAACTGGCAAATTTCTACTAGTCCTTAAGATACCTAAACTATTGGGCAATTTGGCAAGGACTATAGGACTAGTGCCAGTTTCTAATGCAATGTGATGTGCTGATATAAATTTGTACACAGCACCCACCCCACCCACCCCAAGAAAGTTCTTTAATGGATCGACTCCCATGAATAGTGTGACAGTGATATCTTATTGTCCTATGTTAGCCCCTATTTATTTGTGTTGGAGTTTTATGCACAGTGTTGCATTCCCTGTAGCTGATTACTTCTAAGCACTGGATTACTCAATACCAGCAGATTGTGATTCTGAGAATGATGCTTTTGGTTATTTTGAAGAATAGTGTGTATAAATTTGGATTCATTTGTTTCTTGGAGAGGCTGACTTCTTTCTTTTTCTTACAACACTCTCCAAAACCAGAGTCATGAATTTGATGGTCAGTAGTAATTAACAATGTTTTGACCTAACATCGTAAATGTCACACGAGCTAACCATTCACACCGAAACACTCGCCTTTTTACACCTGGACTGATGATTCATGCATGGTTTTGTCTTTACATGTGGTCTCACATCCATCTGTTGTTTTTCTTCTACTCCTGACTGCTGCTGGCCAGCAGGTCGCTAAAATATTTGTCACCAGATGGCTATTGAAATTTTCTGCACATAATCAATAGTTAGATTTTAGAAAATGATTACCCGGTACTTATTAAACTACTTGCAAAGAATTTGACAAATACAGTGCCGGGGAACTACAGATCCACCACCCTACTTACATTACTCTGTGCATGGCCAGGTGGTGACAGTCATTGTGATGACTCTCTACTCTTCTCAGTAGATCTAACTGCACAAATTGAAATGCCATTTCGCCTGATGTATTAAACATTTTCTGTTTTGATTTTAACTTGATATGCTGAAGACCTTTCAGATAGAATTGAATTGAATGTTAGCAAAGCCCTTTGTTTCTATCACAATGCAGAAGAATCCTTAGTCATCCATTAAAACTGGTGAAAAGAGTCTGAATTTTGGTATTACCATTGTAGGCGAACCTGACTGGGAAAATGTAATTTGACATATTCATTTGTCTTCTGTTACTGTATGTGTGTTGTAGTAGATTGTGTTACCAATGAGTCCCTGTGTAACTATGGAAACTGTAGTTTCTTTTACCATTGAGTCCCTGTGTAACTGTAGATAGTGTTACCATTGAGTTGTTGTTTGTAGCCCAAATATGTTTGACAAAGTACTACTTTGTATTCATGACTCAATTGTATATATCAAGTTATTCTCATCGCTATGTGGCTGAAATAATCACTCACTCACCATAGCTGTAGATTGGATTATGTTACCATTGAGTCCCATGGTAACAGTAGATTGGCTTACTGTTGAGTCACCGTGTAACCATGGTAACAGTAGATTGTGTTACCATTGAGTCCCATGGTAACAGTAGATTGTTGCCATTCAGTTCCCATGTAGTCGTGGTAACAGTAGATTGGCTTACTGTTGAGTCATTGTGTAACCATGGTAACAGTAGATTATGTTACCATTGAGTCTGTGTGACTAGATTGTGTTACCATTGAGTCTTTGTGACAGTAGATTGTGTTACCATTGAGTCTGTGACAGTAGATTGTGTTACCATTGGGACCATGTGACAGTAAATCGTGTTACCATTGAGTCTGTGACAGTAGATTGTGTTACCATTGAGTCTGTGTGACAGTAGATCATGTAACCATTGAGTCTGTGACAGTAGATTGTGTTACCATTGAGTCCATGTGACAGTAAATAGTGTTACCATTGAGTCTGTGACAGTAGATTGTGTTACCATTGAGTCTGTGTGACAGTAGATCATGTAACCATTGAGTCTGTGACAGTAGATTGTGTTACCATTGAGTCCATGTGACAGTAAATAGTGTTACCATTGAGTCTGTGACAGTAGATTGTGTTACCATTGAGTCTGTGACAGTAGATCGTGTTACCATTGAGTCTGTGACAGTAGATCGTGTTACTACTGAGTCTGCTTAGCACTGTAACTTGTATTTAGTCCCAGTATTCTGGTAGTTTGTTTTAAAAACAACCACTGACCAGTTTTTAGGATCTTCTTTACATCATCTAGCTTGCTTAATGGTCCAGATATAGGCAAGACCTTTAGAACTGATCTGCGCTGCAAGAGGCTTACCCTGCTTTTGCTGTTGTGTTCCCAGGGTGCAGCAGCGACAGCCACCATGGCTCTGCCGCAGGGTCTGTTCCAGCACCAACTAGCAGCTCTCAACACAGCTGGAAACACCATTCTGCATACAGGTAAACTACTAAACACCACTGTGCAGAGCTCAGAAAGGTCTTTCAACCAGGGCTGGTAACTTACTACTTACAGGAGGTATTCATTTGGCAAGAGGACTATGCCTTGTGCTTCGCTTTGCTTACATTAGTTTTGTAAATAGTTTGTTTTAGGATTATCTCCATCAGTGTGTAAAATTCCCCCAAAATTTCAGTCAGGCAACCAGGCTGGCAACTTTGCAAAATACCAGACCAGACAAAATGTTGCCGGTCCAAAATGTTCTGGACTAACAAACAAAAGTAACAGGGTAAACATAAGAATGGTACTGTTTAATGTTAGTTCTCAGAAGTTTGGTGGATTGTCAACTCAGTAAATTTAACTTCCGACCATCGGGTGTGCAACTTTACAAAACTGACTGTCAGGCAGGCATGTATTTAATTTAAACACTGCCACCATTCTGTGACTGGTATGAGACTCTTGTATGGAGTTATTAAACAACATACCAAGTTGTGTCATGGAGACTTAGCATGCTCCGGCACAGTGATGACTTAGCATTACACCACTGCCACAAGCTAATTTGCATATCATATGATCAGACTCTTGTTTGTAAACAAACATGCTTATTCTGAAATCAGCAGACAGGCCTAAAGAAGATTATTTTGTATATATATGACCCGTGAAGATTCCGGGGTAGAATAGGTCTTCAGCAACCCATGCTTGCCGTAAAAGGTGACTATGCTTGTCGTAAAAGGCGACTAATGGGATCGGGTGGTCAGGCTCGCTGACTTGGTTGATGCATGTCATCGATCCCAATTGCGTGGATCGATGCTCATGATGTCTATCACTGGATTGTCAGACCATTTACAGACCGCCGTCATATAGCTGGGATATGGCTGAGTGCAGCATTAAACAACAAATAACCAACCAATGTATCATAATATATAAAAATGCTACTACAACTGCGACAGTGATGACAATGACAGTATGTCGGTATCTGTATGCATCAAAGTGGTTAAGTGTTAGCTTGTCACGCTGAAGACCCGGGTTTGATTCCCCACATGGTTACAAGGTGTGAAGCCCACTTCCTTAGTCTCTGTTCAAGAGCTGAAGTTACAATTGTGTATGTCTGTATACAAGTACGATAGTTACACTATCATCTGTCTGTATACAAGTACGATAGTTACACTATCATCTGTCTGTATACAAGTATGATAGTTACACTATCATCTGTCTGTATACAAGTACGATAGTTACACTATCATCTGTCTGTATACAAGTACGGTAGTTACACTCTCATCTGTCTGTATACAAGTACGATAGTTACACTATCATCTGTCTGTATACAAGTACGGTAGTTACACTCTCATCTGTCTGTATACAAGTACGATAGTTACACTATCATCTGTCTGTATACAAGTACGATAGTTACACTATCATCTGTCTGTATACAAGTACGATAGTTACACTATCATCTGTCTGTATACAAGTACGATAGTTACACTATCATCAGTCTGTATACAAGTACGATAGTTACACTCTCATCTGTCTGTATACAAGTACGATAGTTACACTATCATCTGTCTGTATACAAGTACGATAGTTACACTATCATCTGTCTGTATACAAGTACGATAGTTACGCTATCATCTGTCTGTATACAAGTACGATAGTTACACTATCATCTGTCTGTATACAAGTACGGTAGTTACACTCTCATCTGTCTGTATACAAGTACGATAGTTACACTCTCATCTGTCTGTATACAAGTACGGTAGTTACACTATCATCTGTCTGTATACAAGTACGATAGTTACACTATCATCTGTCTGTATACAAGTACGATAGTTACACTCTCATCTGTCTGTATACAAGTACGATAGTTACACTATCATCTGTCTGTATTCAAGTACGATAGTTACACTATCATCTGTCTGTATACAAGTACGATAGTTACACTATCATCTGTCTGTATACAAGTACGATAGTTACACTATCATCTGTCTGTATTCAAGTACGATAGTTACACTCTCATCTGTCTTTATTCAAATACGATAGTTACACTATCATCTGTCTGTATACAAGTACGATAGTTACACTATCATCAGTCTGTATACGGGACGGTCTTGTAGCGTAGTGGTTAAAGCGTTCGCCCGTCACGTCGAAGACCCTGGTTCAAATCCCGACATGGGTACAATGTGTGAAGCCCATTTATGGTGTCCCCCGCCGTGATATTGCTGGAATATTGCTAAAAGCGGCGTAAAACTATACTCACTCACTCACTCACTGTCTGTATACAAGTACGATAGTTACACTATCATCTGTCTGTATACAAGTACAATAGTTACACTATCATCTGTCTGTATACAAGTATGAGGGCAACGACTTTTGCATGACCATATTCAGGCATGAAAGATATGCCTGTTGCGCATCTGTACAGAGTTAGGAAAAGCGTAAAAGTTTTATTCAAGTACGGTATTTGCTCGTCACGCCGAAGACCCGGGTTTGACTCCCGACATGGGTACAATGTGAAAAGCCCATTTCTGGTGTCTCCTGCCGTGATATTGCTGGAATATTGCTAAAAGCGGCGTAAAACCATACTCACTCGCTCACTCACTCACAGAAATTACGACTACCGTACATGTGCTATTTGAACAGGGAAGTTACAAATGGCATACACTATATTATTGTACATGGGTTACAACTGACTTACAGATGTATTCAGTTGTATCAGTAAACAGCATCATAGAGTTTCATGTCAGTGGAACGTGTGTGACTAGTTTTGTGCAGACACTGAACTGTTGATGTATCCTAGGTAACGGGCAGTACATCCAGGTGTTATCACAGCATCTCCAGCAGGCTCCTCAAGCCACAACCATCACAACTCTCCCCCATCAAACTATCCTCCAGAGTGGGCAGATGCAAGCACAGGTCCCACAGATGACCAACATACAGAACGTTCAGCTTGCGCCAGGACAGCAGATACGAGCACAAAATCCTGTGAGTTGTCATTGCTATATTCTTTGTAAAACTCGGTCTAACCTATTTCGCAATGCATAACCGTAAGAGGTTAGGGGACCAAAAGATATAGGAATGTTTCTTTTGGTGAATAGAAATAATAATTCTAACAATAAAACTCCTGTTCGATAATGATACATTCTCATAAAATCAGATATTAGTGCTTGCTAGTGCTATACCCATATATGAGGACATCCAATTACAGGTCACGTCAGAATAACCTTTCGTGAACTTTGACCAATGAAATGACCGACCAGGAAGACGACATTAGCATTTTCTATGTTGGTAATAAAAACTATGTTGGCATTAATATACACTTGATAAAACACATGGTGTTAAAAGACAGTTTCAATAAACACAGTAAAAACAAATTAGTATTAAAAACACACATTGGTAATAAAAGACACGTTGATAAATTCATGTTGGTTATGAAAAGGTGTGTATTTCAGAATGGCCAGGGGATGGTACAGCTGGATGGGGCTGGTGACACAAGTTCATCTGAGGATGATGAGTACAACGACGATGACGACAATGATGACAATGATGACGAGAACAATGAGGAGGAAGAGCAGGGGGAAGAAGAGGTATGTTGTTGTCCCGCTAAGCAACTAACAAACTCGTGTCATTGATTGGATTCTACTGGAATGTCCTGCCTCATCATTATGGTCAGTCATTGCGATCCAGTGTGTTTCCAAGATATCTACTTGACCATGATTTGAAATTTTAAGAATGTCATTTTCTATTTGAACATGATGAATATGTCAAATCTAGTTGCATGTATCTGATATTATCATATAATGGGTAGGTTTCTCGGCAGGATAAAGCCAATGGATAAAAACGATATCCGTTGGGGTCATATGCGGATAAAGATGCAAATATCAAAGGTCAAGTAGGGACTACTTTTACTGTTTATAAACAAACATGGCGTCGCCCTTGTCATTCGGCGATCGAGTCAGAATTAACCATCGGGAATATGGATAAACTACAGGGATAATTGCTATCATTATCAAAAGAACAGTCATATAAACTGAAAATCAGTGTCTAACTGTGACGTAGCTAAGGCATTTTATAAGTTTTGGCAACTTTGGCGATATAAATTTCGAAACAATTTTGCGAGGGCACGAAGCCTAGCCAAGCGGGATCAGTAACCATATCTGCAGCTTGAAACCTTCTCCACAAATTAAAATAGTTGGATTTGGCCGAAATATGTTTGAATTGTTACCTTGTATGTTTTGTCGCTGTGTGTACATCTGACTACACTTCTTAACGTTATGACAGGACCGACCGATTGTCAACAACGTCTGACCGTGGCCGTGACGTCTCATTGACTAGGGTTAGAGTAGCTTCCCTTTGACAAAGGGCAGTTACTCTAGCGGACAGACCGATGGATTGCCGCGAAAGGCAATTAAAAACAATTGTTGTTTTGCGTATATGTTGCTTCGTTACTGTATAAGAAACAGATTTCAGTTGGAACTATATTGGTTTCTGTCACTGTCCGACTGACACATCACTTACCCTGTGACGTAATAAATATTAATGCGCGCATTCCAGGAAAACTCGCAATGTTTCGGTAATGTTTGTGAGAGAGGGAAAACGATTTTGAAGCACAGAATTAAAGAATGACATTATATGATAAAGAGGTTATCACGCTTGTGTGTTTGGGGATGGTAAATATCCTGTATTAGGAATAAACACTATGTATTTAGCTCGCCAAGGCTCGCTAAATACAATGTTTATTCCTAATACAGGATATTTACCATCCCCAAACACACTCGCGTGATAACCTCTATTTATTCATATTACTGATTTATGTGAGGAAGAAATGTGAATTGATGCATTGATTTAATCAATAAATGCTAGATTGGGTTCAACAAGTATGGTGGTTCTCTAGATTAATATGTCTAAGGTGCTGCAGTTTGCTGTGCAGAGTTGCATCCCTTGGAAATGCCAGAAACCTATGATCTTGGGTTAAAGTCCGGGTTCACTCCGACTATGTTTGTAGGTTTGCCAGCATCATACCCGTGCTCGTGGGTTCCTCCAAAGTGGTAAACATCTGAGACCTGCATTACTTTTGGTTTATCCTCCCACATTACACTGACAAGCTGTGATATAAGTGGAATATTGTGCAAACCAATATTGGCATTTAACCTAACTCACTCAATCATGTGGCAATTGTGGCTGAGTTACATCCAGGAACCTTTGATTGTTGGTTGAATCCCACATTTCACCCTGATTATATTCTGTTTGTCAGAGCCTTTTGGGATTCACCTAGCATTTCTACCACATCAGGGTGATACAACTACTGTTCAAAGCAGTGTTAGACCATACTCATTCATTCACACACCCACCTGGCATGATGTTTGTGATAATTGTCTCGGCACCCGTCATTGACCGCTGTTGTTGTGTTGCTGACATTGTCTATCTCTCTACAGGAACCATTGAACTCCGAGGATGACGTGAGTGAGCAGGACCCTGACGAGTTGTTTGACACAGACAATGTGGTTGTCTGTCAGTATGACAAGGTAAGTTAGAGGCAGAGTACTGTCAAGCTAAGGCATTTACAGATGTTGGCTGGTATGTTCTTGTGTTCCCTGTGCACTCTGTTCACTGTACATTGTCACAGCATGGCTTGTTTCATTCATTCATTCATGAGTGAGTTTGGTTTTACGCCGCCTTTAGCAATATTCAAGCAATATCACGGCAGGGGGACACTAGAAATAGGCTTCACACTTTGAACCTATGTCGGGAATCGAACCCGGGTCATCGGCGTGACGTGCCAACGCTTTAACCACTAGGCTACCCGAACGCCCCGTTTCATTCATGAAAGAACTGCTTTTCTGGATGTCTATTTTAAGTGTTGTCATTTGAACTGGACTAAAAACAGTGCTATGGTGGGGATTGAGTCGAGGCTTTTAATGAAAATAGAATGGAGATTAGTACAGGATGGCACAAGATCGGCATGGGTTAGACAAGTATGCTGGTCCACTACAGAGTTAGAAATTGGCACTAGTCCTGTAGTCCTAGCCACACTCCGGGGGCACGGGTGGCCCAGTCGTCTAAGGCACCGTGATTCGCTGTGCAGAGTTGCGTCCCTTAGGCACGCCAGAAACCTATGATTGTGGGTTCGAATCCCGGTTCGCCCCGATTATGTTTCTAGGTTTGTCAACACCATACCCGTGCTCGTGGGTTTCACCGAAGTGGTAAACGTCTGAGACCTGCATCACTTCGGGCTTTCCTCCCACATTAAGCTGACACGCTGTGATATAACTGGAATACTGTTTAAAGCGGCGTTAAACCCAACTCACTCACTCACCTAGCCACACTCCCCAGTAGTTAGGTGTATCATAAAAAATATTAGTAATTTGCCATTTTTTGCTATATATGTGATTATAAGGACTAGTGGACTAAAACTGTTAGTTTCTAACACTGCACTAGATTAATACATCCAAGGCGTCACAATTTGCTGCACAGAGTTGCAGCCCTTTGGCACACCACAAATCTATGATTTTTGGTTCGAATCCCGGTGCACCCCAATTATGTTTCTGGGTTTGTCAGCACCACACATGTGCTCATTGGTTTCACGAAAGTATAAACGTCTGAGACCTGCATCACTTTGGGCTTTCCTCCCTCATGCCGTGAAAGAACTGAAATACTGTTATTGTTTTTATTAAACCCAACTCACTCACTTTTGCACAGCTAAAAACTTGTTTCCAACTTTCTCTCTTGCTTGTGATTATGAAGACGTACTTGCTTGGATGGCTAGGTTGCTTAGGTCATTAATGACAGATAATTAAAATTACTGGAAATTTACTCCCTATGTTATACAGATATTTATTAATTCCTCGTCTGTTTTCAGATAAACCGCAACAAAAACAAGTGGAAGTTTCATTTAAAGGATGGCATAATGAATCTCAATGGTCGTGACTTTGTGTTCCAAAAAGCAACAGGTGATGCTGAGTGGTAGTGAGAGCTTGTGATTCCTCATTTGTACAGCGACTGTATATACAGTGTACATATCACACCGGACTCCTCACACAGATTACAGAAGAAGTCAGTGGAGGTGGCTGGAGGGAGTCAAATGGTCGTCAGGATCTGCAATATTTCTACCATGTTTGTTTTTGGGCCATAAATGATACAAGTTATTTTATTGACTTTACAGAACGCTTCTGTTCTGTTCTGTTCTGATCCCCAGTGCTACTATCACAGCACAGATTTGATGTGATGTTACAATTAATGATTGAAGATATATTCAGTTTGTAATGATTTGATGCCTTGATACAAAACAGACTGATATTTTTGTACTATGGAGTTCCAATGAGACTGTGCTAATAGTATTTGTTCAATGCAGGATGCACAACGTGCTGGTGTTGTTGTAATTGAATTCAATGCTTAATGACACAATGATAAAATGTTCCTGTATCTGTGACCCCTGTGGAGATCCCAGGGCAGAGTAGGTTCCCAGTGTAAACCCTCCTGAGGCCAGAGTGTCCACTTGCCTTTTTATCAAAGTCCTGTTTCCACCCTTGCCACTTTCAGCCCTCATTTCCTGTGCTTGATATGATTCAACTGTCGTACCTATCGATAGTCCAATCACAGAACGTTTGGCAAAATCAACATCCACGACTGGTACACCTTTGTATGAAAGTGAATTACTGCTGCCTGTCTTCGTTAACACAAATATCATCTTTTGAACCCCCCAACAATTGCCTATGTTTTTGTGTCGCGTGAAATCACGGATGTTTTTGTTATCTGATGGACTAGATCATCGCCTATGGTAGTTGCCATGTTTATGAAGCTATACATGATAAGACCAGCTCCTGATTGGATATCGTGTTTTCATTACAAGGGGCACAACTCGTGACCAATGCGAGCCAAGAAAAGTGGCCTTGATGCGGCAAGGTTAGAAACTAGGCCTTGATATAGGCTAGTGGACACGCCTTGATGTGGCAAGGTTAGAAACTAGGCCTTGATATAGGCTAGTGGACACGCCTTGATGTGGCAAGGTTAGAAACTAGGCCTTGATATGGGCTAGTGGACACGCCTTGATGTGGCAAGGTTAGAAACTAGGCCTTGATATGGGCTAGTGGACACGCCTTGATGTGGCAAGGTTAGAAACTAGGCCTTGATATAGGCTAGTGGACACGCCTTGATGTGGCAAGGTTAGAAACTAGGCCTTGATATAGGCTAGTGGACACGCCTTGATGTGGCAAGGTTAGAAACTAGGCCTTGATATGGGCTAGTGGACACGCCTTGATGTGGCAAGGTTAGAAACTAGGCCTTGATATGGGCTAGTGGACACGCCTTGATGTGGCAAGGTTAGAAACTAGGCCTTGATATGGGCTAGTGGACACGCCTTGATGTGGCAAGGTTAGAAACTACAGTAGGCTTTGATATAGGCTAGTGGACACGCTTGCCTCTGGAAGATGCAGTACACCAAGCTTTTGTACCATTTGGGAAGAATTAGACCACACTCAGTTCCATTTGCCTGTGTCCTCCATGGGAAGAATAGGTCCCCATGGTACCCCTTGCTTGTCATAGGAGCCAACGTGAATGAGGATCACAGTGTCACTTAGATGGTTGTGTGTCATCCTACCTACACAGTGTGGATGAATGCTCTTGCAATTGGTCACTGATTTCTCTGGATCAGAGTCTCTTATGCCAGGCTATTGTATTACTGTTTACAGATTTATCTAACCGGTCAGCCTGAATTTGTGTGGATTGTAAATATCTTACGTTTGGGTTTGTCAGGTGTTTTTGGTTTAAAAAAATTTAATTTCAGTCGTGAAGATTGGTATTTATACAAAACATATATTTATTTCGAAAAGGCTTTGTACTCTTTGTAAGGTGTTTGTACGGGCCAGAGGCTTCATAAGATGCATTTGATCCAAAACAAAAATCAAAGTTAATAAATAGTTTTGTATTATTTATTTTCTGATCCAAATTTTGAGTGGTGGGACAAATATGAATAGATTATTGAAAGAATAAGAAATACAGCCTTGTGTACAGCCAGCCATATATTTTCGGGAAACATTGCATAAAACAACCTTCACTCACTCCTGTATGTGTTCCTTGAGTCAGGGTAAGAATTATCAAGAAAGCCTTGGCGTGAAATCCATGATTCATTTTGGACTAGTTCTCCCAGTAATTGAGCTGGTATCGTCGAGAAAAACTTCTAGTCCATATTGTTTTCCCGCAGCTTGGACATGCAGACAGGTGTTGTATGTCCAACCCTTATGTGTGTTTGTGTGCATAGGAATGACAGGAGAGTAATGACAGCAGTAAACATGACTGTAACATTAGTGGTCAACATTTGCAAATCTCTCTTCCATTGTACTTCAGTTACATAATTAGTCCATTTATCATGGTAATCATTCTGAATGTGCGAGAATGGCTATTAAATCAAATTATCGGTTACATTTGAAGGGGTTTAATGGTATGAAAGAACACTTGAAACGGTGCATGGTTTAAATCAAAATGGTAGATGGGTTTGTTTGTATAAAGTAAAGGTAGAGAAATGTATATTGCAATGATTTTATTTAATGAAAAGTGTTGGGAGATGAGTGTTGTCATGTCCCTATCATTTTGTTGGTGAAAGGATCTCTGAAGTTGTAGCACTTTCTGCAGTTGCAGGAGAGGTTGTCCAAAGAAGGCCTTTTGTATAAACGTTTTATGAATGTTTACGATCAATCCAATCACAAAGAATGTATGTTGTCTAAGTTTGTAAGTCAAGTGAATGTTGCTACTAGTGTAATAGCCTGTACATTTGGTATTTTGGCCATATGTAGTCAGTATTGCCATACCATATACCATTCAAACAGGGATTTACATCGAGTTATTTATGTACCAGGGTGCCGTTGTACAAAACAACCTTAGCACTACGCCTGTCGTAAGTCTATGTTAAGGTATGGGAGTTACGATCCCCTTAGCGCTAAGATCGCTTTGTACAATGGCACTCAGGACAACATTCTGTGAGAAAGTCCTGTTCACTAGTTTCAGACTAGCTAACTGATAACCTTGTATAAGGTTATGGTTGCCTTCGATTAAAATTTTATTTGTTCGTCTTTTTCAGTTTATTTGATTTGTTGGCATATTTTTATATCTATTTGCATCACACATCCAAGGATTGGTCCTAAAACGGATCATTACAAACTTGTCGCTGTGTTGGAGGCGGCACAGTCTGTGATGACTTGCCACCTGACTGCACGAGCATCATCCTTTAGTATTTGTGCAACCTGTATGGTTTACTGGCTCCAGACTTGGAAGTCAAGCTAATCAGTTTAGTTTCACAGTCCAGTCACTCCCACACAGGAAATTTATTGGGCTGGGTTTAAGATGAAGTCAGTTGCCTTGACTTTATTCAGTAGGTTAGCAGTAATCCATACGGTCAGTGGAAAATGGCTATTGTCTGTACAGGGCAGAGTTGCCCCTTAGTTGTGCGCAGACCCAGGGTTCAAATTGCAGATTCAACCGAAATTATTATCCTTTCACCGCAATAGGCAATCTGTCAACATCTGTCATATTAGTGAGGTGGCATCAACCTAACTCGCTCATGCTGAGTAACTACATGAAGGCAATGTCCGTGCAGGGATAGGATGTATGTTTATGTCTCGTACTTGCTGTAGCGCGGGAAGGGATTCCTATTGGAAATTTGGCAAATTGTAAATACAGACTGTTTTGGATACATTGACGCAAAATATCCCAATTGCGTGAATCGATGCTCATGTTTTCAATCACTGGATTGTCTGGTCCAGACTCGATTATTTACAGACTGCCGTCATATACTTGGGATATTGCTTAGTGTGGCGTTTAGCAACAAACAAGCACAACTCACTAACTCTAAACTATAGGCAAATTATAACTAAGTAGGTCTGTTGAAAAGTGAAGCTTGTCATCTCTCTCTCAGGTCCCATTCCACAAAGCAATCATAAGGTATGGAAGTTACGATCACTTTAGCGTTAAGATCACTTTGTAGATAGGGGCTCTGATATGCTATGTTATGTTCAGACAGGTTTGTAATTACAGGTCTGACTCCATGTGTAGGTGTACATTGTCACTGTGTAAATATTCATGATATAGATATACATTACCATTGAAGTTTGTATGTATGCATGGCATAGGCAGTGTATTTCACCTGATAATCTTTACACTTGTACATGTCTTCACTGCATTCACATTCTCCGAAACCTGTGAATATCCCGGTAGAGAAGAGGTCTTCAGCAACCCATGCTTGTCATAAGAGGCGACTATGCTTGTCGTAAAAGACGACTAAGGGGTTTGGGTGGTCAGGCTCGCTCACCGGTTGATGCATGTCATCATATCCAAATTGCGAAGATCGATGCTCATGATGTCAATCACTGGATAGTCTGGTCCAGATTTGATTATTTAGAGACCACTGTCATATAGTTGGAATATTGCTGTGTGCGGTGTTAAACAACAAACAAACAAAACACATTCTCAAACATTTCTTGGTAGGGCTTTGGATTGTGTTTCTGCCATGTGAATATCCATCTGATACTTTCCAATCTGGGTCATGATGACAAAGCCTGTTCTCTTGGGTGAAGATGATAACGCTCCTAGTGTCATGTTGGGGTGTCGGTAGCTTTTGCTTGATTTGTTAACTCCATTTCTCCGTTTACTTGTTCAGAGTCATAGTTTGGTAATATTTCCTTACAAGTCAGTCCTTTATCAACCAGTGTAACTTGCATAATACACCAAGGATAAAGTTTGGCTACTGTTTTTTATGGTATTGTCTAAGTCTAAACATGTTCAACAATCACAATCATGTTTGAAATACTAGACAATGCTAACAGTTGGATAAAGAAGGATATACATTCTGTCAAAATATGGACAACTTGTTTTTTGTTTCTTGTGAATACATTTTATATCTCCAGGAAACATTTGTGTTGAATGTGTGCAGGGCAGGGATAGACACCATGAGTTAAATCCATCTAACCCACAGGTCAGTCCATACTAATGGGGTGGGTAACTTGACAAGATGTTGGGGAACACAATTAGTCCCCTTTTTGACCAAGTCTAGCATTTTCAGGATTCCCAGATTACAAGTTAAGATACTGGCGTGTGAGAGCGGGTAATTGGTCAGAATGTTACGATTCTTAATGTGTAGGACAGAAGTTTTCTTAGTGCATGGATTTTTCCTCTGAGATAGTAGGGGGAAATAATCTTGACTTACCTCCCTTATGTTTCTGTATGCAAGGTTTTGTCATCTAACTTTGAATGAGCCTACTTTGTCTATGGATGATTGCAGAATGGCTATAGGGCATAGTGTACAATATGCTAATCAACCCTCTCCTTAATCAATGTGTGATGTCTTTTTTCCTCACTGCATGGTGAAAGTTAAGAGTGGTAACAAAGCATCAGCATTATTTGCTTTGGAAGTTCAAGTGAAATGTTTATGTGCGAGTTTGCTACTGATATCAGATATCTTGATGATTTATAGTTAAAAATTCCTAGGAGGTCATAATATTAAAAACCCAGAATGTATGAGGCATGGTGTAGGAATATGATCTGATTAATGAAGTGGGTGTTTTATGGGTATGCTCTATTCTAGAGCCCTTTCATAATAATGCAATTTTTCATTTCTTTCCTGTTTCATGCGTTCATCTGAAGCTTATGCAATAACTTCCAAGACCGGTAGAATGTAATCCAATGTTTTTTTTTCTGGCAAAAGAAATGCCACTGAAAGCAAGAAATATGACGTTTACATGATTGTAATCTTTGCCTTGTGCCATTTTGGGGGACGTTTTGGTTGTATTGGATCCCAACTCATCCTTGTTGATGCAACAATCAAGATGTGGTGCCCTCGATTATTTACAGGCCTCAGTCATAGCTGGATATTGCCGAGTGGTGTTTAAGCAACAACCAAATGTTCTGTTGAAAACCTGGACATTACGGGGCCATAAGCACAACCCACCTCAGCTGAAACTTGTTTTGTACCCTATGGGGAGTCCATAACAGTTCGTAGTCCACTGTGATTTAGTGTAATATTGCTGACAACAACCAGCTAGGATGCAGTATGATATTGTTGATTATTTACCACTGTGATGTATGATAATGCTCACCACATTCTTGGTTATGTGACTGATATTGCCCACTACAGGCCACACTATTATGGCTGTAATATTGTCCACTACAAACAGCAGCGTTATAGCTGTAAAATGCCCGCTTCAGGGCACAGTGACATAGGTGTATAACCTTTCTATCTACATGCTGCTGTGATGTAGTGTGATATTAATTACTATATGTCATGGTGATACAGTGTTATAGTTCTGACGACAGCATAACTCTCACCATTCTGTTCATTGGACTAGTCTTGTCCCTGCAAAGTTGACACAATTCATGTTGCTTGACAATGGTATAATGTATTATCGTTGCTATGATAGTACATTAAAGAAGTTGTTATCCATATATTCAGCTTGTCCCTGCAATATGGGACATCCATTACCTGAGCATGGCTACACCGGTAATTAAACAGCGACTTCAAGGGAAGTAGGTAGTAGTGTGGCACAGGTGTGGCAATGTATATGGCAAATAAATACAAATAAAATAGTTGAGCACCACCTGATACTTTCATATAATAACTAGAGTTCATCTGTCATGGCATGACATGATCAATTGTAATTTGAAAGAATCGGGTGGTCATTTGACTGTTTTTGAGTAGTATTTTTCAAATATATTTCTAGCTCTTGTCCAGATTAAGTAGAATGATTGCAACCCTGGCAAGATTGACTCCCTCTCAAGAATATTTAAATAAATATGTTCAGATCTTTGCCAGATTTATTCCCTTTCAGAATTTTGTTAGAACAGTCAGTAGTCTACAGAGTACAGGTTATTTATCTGAGTTTGTGTCTCAGTTTATTTCTAAGTCATTCATTATCATTTTGTCTATATCATCAATACATGTCATTTAATACCTCCCTTAAGAACCCAAACTGGATGTTGTAAAGTATTTATATGAAATTAAATATGATTTATAAGAATTGTTTTTTTTCTGTTTTTGAAGCCTGATTTAATTTCAAATGATGCTCACCGATTGATCCAAACTGACCAGCTATTTCGGACATTAAGTACCCAAGACAAATGAAATAGTTACTTTAATGAAGATGGGTGTCATTTATAGGAATCCGGTTGAAGGGCATTTGGCCAGGAAAAAATATTTTGTTTGTGTCAAACAACTGTCGGCAACAACTTGGACTTGTCTGATACTGACGTTGCTCATAATATCAATCACTGGTTTGTCCGGTCCAGACACGTTTATACCTATATACATAGTGGTGAGGCGGGGTTGAACATCCGCCGGGACTGCTGTCAAGGCCCTGTGTGCGGAATGTGACACTGACACACCAATTAAAATATATACTTTATTCAGAGAATCAAATACATTGCAGGGCAGCAGAACAGGACATCTAGAGCATGGACCAAAATAATCGGAAGCAGACGGCAGCAGTGGATTAAAAGAAACCATTACCGACACCACGGCTACAAAACATTATTTTTGAGGGCTGACTGAGCTTACAACTCCCAATTCTACCTTGGTTTGAGTTTTCGTTGAAATTTCCGTGCCACACTATTCCTAGTTTTTAACTCTTACCAAAGCTCTGACCAAAGCTTTTTCCCGTGGCAAGTGCGTCGTCGCATTTTCACTTTGATAAAGCACTGCAGTTGTCATTGGAGCTGAAACTTTGCAAAGCTGATGGCACTGGTCTCTATTGCAATAACAATTGTGATTTGGTATATGCAAATCATTGAATATTGTTGCGGCAGCCATAGTTGATTTGATTAAATGAACCTATGCAGCTCTGAAACTTAATGTTTCGATTTTGGAGGTGATCAGCCAATCTATGTGAGCGCCTCCATTTACAAATCCTTACGTATAACAGGACACGCGTATATTGACAACATACCCGTAACAGTATGGACATTAAGTACACATCGACTTGCATTACGGCACAAACAGGCTATATCAAACCATAGGCGGATCCAGAGGTGTCGGGACCTCCAACCCTCATGGATGTGAACAGTCTGTTCAGTGTTCGAATCCCAA